CTGTATGAGGAATGATGAACAGTTTAATTCAGCCATTGATTATTGCACTTATTTCATGGTCAATTTTAACACCACGTACACCATCACAAACGGGCTTGCACTGAGTAAACTACTGTTGCTACACCTAAAAAAGCTGGTATTGCTATTAACATGCATATAATAAGGTACAGTGTATGTCAAAAGCATCAGTGCAGTATCAGACAGCACCCGTGAGAACAGCACAGTTATCCCGTTAACAGATTCATGTCCAGCAGTGTGTGCAGGGACGGTGAGCGCTCCGTGTTTGCTTTGGTCACTCAGTTCTGTTATAAAAGTCTATTTTCTTGTGATACTGGGATTTTGTTGAGACATATTTTCCTCACGCTTGCACATATATTTTTTGCTTGTTAGTTTGATTACTGTTGATTTTAAATACAATAAATATGTTTGTATAAAACTTGTGGTAATGGTGCTCATAATTGGTGGGTGTGACTAAATTGTGACTGATGCGCCTAAATTTTTTAAGTTAGGAGCACCGATGCTACCAAGCAAAAAGGTTCATTTCGAGCCCTGAGATTTGTAAAGCCATACAGCTCTGGATGACGTGAAACAGCGAGCACAAGTCTCTCCTCGATCATTAAAAGCTTGCTGTAGTCTTGACAACACAAACACTGCTGTCATCTCAAAGGAAACCCCGCCTCTGCTTTCATTTGATTGGAGAATGAGAAAGACGCGACTGAGGTATAGGACATGCTTTTTTTAAAATGCAAGACACGCAGGGCGCATACGCAGTGTGTAAAACACTCGCAGCCATCAGTAAACCATTCAACAGATGCCCTTACACAGCCAAACTTAAAAAGTATATAAACTAATATTGTTTAATGGTTTAACTGATGCCGTTAATCAGGTACAAACACACTCAATCAGTTAATCGGTTATTCTGAGCATCTCTAATGTGAATGTATTGACTCGCTGTGCATTCACTGATGATAACGAGCACAACTGAGGCTTTTAATCATGCATTAGTCAGTGTTGATCTACAGTTCATACATGCTTTACTAGATTATTCACACTCAGTTAATGTGATCAAAACTACCTGTGCATGAACTAATGTAATGCACACCTTCCAGCCAATCAGAATCTATATTTTGATTAGAGCATGCAATATAAGATGATAAACCCTGTTCACCATTGAGCCGTCTGACGGCGAGCTGATCATTAGCTGCTGTTTCACTGCTCATCAGGTCAGCTCTGTAGATGCTATTGGAAAGTGAGAGTGATCGATAGTGAATCAGTGAACGCTCTGCTGTCGAGTCTCTCTGTAACTCCACACGTGTAAAGCGCTTTACTGAACTGCTCTGGATTTAGAAAGGCACCGGTGTGGAACAGAGCAGCTGATAATCCGAGATCTCAGCTAAAGCTAAGCAGTTCTCAGACCAAACAAACACACGTCACATGATCGACTCTGAAGCAGACTCACAGCGAGACCTTTACAGGGCATCTCTGCTGGACAATGAACACCACTGTACCACTAGCAGACCACTTACTGCAGTTAAACAGCTTTTCTGCTCAGAGACTAGAGGAATGGATTACTGCTGGTCTGACACACAGCGTAATACACACACACACATCAGCAGAGCTGGAGAAAGAGGAGCAGAGGAGCTCTGTCTGTTCTACTGTTCAATCTGGAGAGGGATGGCCATATTTCATGCATACACACTAACATAAACACACACAGACATGCATACACACTACAATACACACACTAGAAAACACATGCATATCACAATACACGCACACTACAACACACACACATGCTACATGCACACTACAACACACACACACACACACACACACACACACACATGCTACAATACATGCACACTACAACACACATGCACACTACAACACACACACACACACACACGTTACAATACATGCACACTACAACACACACATGCACACTACAACACACACACACGCTACAATACAGGCACACTACAACACACACATGCACACTACAACACACACATGCACACTACAACACACACACACACACGCTACAATACAGGCACACTACAACACACACATGCACACTACAACACACACATGCACACTACAACACACACACACACGCTACAATACAGGCACACTACAACACACACACACACACACGCTACAATACATGCACATTACAACACACACACACACGCTACAACACATGCACACTACAACACACACATGCACACTACAACACACACACACACACACACACGCTACAATACATGCACACTACAACACACACATGCACACTACAACACACACACACACACACACACACACACACGCTACAATACAGGCACACTACAACACACACATGCACACTACAACACACACACACACACACGCTACAATACAGGCACACTACAACACACACATGCATGCTACAACACATGCACACTACAACACACACACACATGCTACAATGCACACTACAACACACATGCACACTACAACACACACACACTACAATAAATGCACACTACAACAAACATGCACACTACAATAAACACACATGCACACTACAATACACACATGCACACTACAGTATGTACACTATAATAAACACATGTGCACACTACAAAATATGCACACACATGCACACTACATGCGCACATGCACACTACAAAACACACACACATGCAGACTACAATACATGTGCATGCGCATGACAGTACGCACTACAATACACAAGCTCACACACACATGCATACTACAGCACACACTAAAATATGCATACACACTACAATACACATGCACAATACACACACACACATGAATACTACAGTATGCACACTATAATAAACACACATGCACACTACAATACACACATGCACACTACAACACACATGCACACACACACACACACACTACAATACTCACATGCACACACACAAATACTACAATAAACACAACACAAGCACACATGCACACTACAATACACACACATGCACACTCCAACGCACATGCACACTAAAATACATTTGCATGCGCACTACAGTACACTACAATACACAAGC